ACATTTATTATCAACTACTGTTCCCTTGCTGATACACCTAGTGGGATAGTCTTGTATATCTCCAGTACGAAACATATTTTCATATCTTTGTATAGTCGCCTGATTACTTTCCTGATCGTCCACTTGTTGGTTGGCATAAGCATTAGTATGATGTATAAATTTTCAAATCTGTTCCCAGAATCGCTATTTTAGACTACCTTATACTCAAAAACGAAGTTTCTTTCAGATTATACTAACAATGGAATGATTTAAACATCAAAATATCAAACTCTTTTGTTAGGGAAAAATGTGAATGATGTTAGGGTTCCGGGAAGAATAGGTCCAAAGCATCAGTTGGTGATTGGGTAATTACATGCTGCCTACTAGATGCTGTAGAACCATGCCCTTCAGTGTCAGACAATATTCACTCACTCACTCACTCACTGAGTAAGAGTCAAAATGTTCCATTATTTAATTCCATCATAGAATAGAAACACATCAGCATGAGGAAAGGTGTCAGGCAACAAGTCAACAATTACACATTTTTAAGAAAACTGGTGGCAGGGCATGCTTGCCCTTCTGGGAACACCTGGTGTCATCACTGGTTTCCAGTCATCCTTTCATACAATCTTCATGACTTTTGTTCCTTGTAAGCAGATAATTGAGACTGGTTATTCTCTGGCCTTGACATTTTAAGTTTGCAAGTAGGGGATAGGAGAACTTCAGACTGGCAAATACAACATATAGGTATTTCATAATGATTTTGTCCATGTATATTAAAATAATGACAAAAGAGGCCCCCAGTAAAGTTTGAGAAATTGCATGTAGATAATTGCTTATGTGTGATGTGCATTGTGAACTTTAAAGTGCTTGCAAACATCAATTTTAAAACAAAAATCATTAAACAGGTAATTAGTATTTATGAATATTGGATAGTAAATTGGTGCTCACTCTCATGTTTTTTAGTGTGAAACACTGTCAATAATTAGCAAAGCTACTATATGCTACTAGACTCTACTAATGCGGGTGGGTACTGAGTAGGACCCGGATACCCACAGGACTACCCGGACCCGTGGTTAGTCACATGATATATTGTTTAATGACAAAATATATCTGGAACTCTATGGTAATAGTACAAGTCACTAATGTTTGCATTTCTTTCTGACTGTGCACCCATTCCTTCCGATTATTCATATGGTTGAATAAACATATAACTTAATTCAACTTCAGTGTATGAATGACCAGATTGTTCTAAAAACGTTTTACCAGGGCTATGCTAAAGATGTTCCCAATCGGACATTTTGAGACATCTCCTGAGACCAACAATGGGTACCCGGGTAGGGTCGGGTAATAGGGAGGTGGGTACCCGGGTCTTTGGACTCGTCCGAGCCCTATTATGTATACATACTGGTTTCCACACCACTGGCTGGTGGGTTACTCCAACATGATAAATCATCTTTCACTTTCTAAAACAAGTGAATTTGAAATAAGTGACTAAAACCTTTCCATATCCAATAGAAATCTCTGCATGAAAGAGTTGATTGTAGGATTCAAAACCACTGCCAAGAAAAAACATGCATCAGGACTACATGACACTAAAACAGAAAAAAACATATCTATTTTAACAACTACATAACAAAATCATAATAACAGAAGCAAATAAATAAAAAACTGAATATTTTATTGAAACAAACTCAAACATGCATATCACAAATGACATTCTCAAGTGCTAATGTTGAAGGTTCCATAGACAAAGTATGTGAAAATTGTTTTATGCAGTATTATCAATTTTCGACGGACATAAGAACATTCAGTACCTGCATAGTTGTTGTGAAGTTTTATGATAAGCCTGTCTTAGGTGTTTTGTCAGGGATATAACCAAATCAACTATGAGCAGTTTCTTTAAAAAAATTCTTCTGTTTCTTGGCATATTCATGTAGAGAATCCGTAAAAAATTTGAGAGAAAACTCTGCTCCTTTTTATGCAACAGAGCACTTCAAACATAAGTTTTCGTGTGATGATTTAAACTGAATACAGCATGTAATTTGCTGCTTTGGTAAAAATATATTTTTTGGACATATTTTGTAAAAACATTGGCACTTCATGCAGAAGAAAGAACATAATGCTGAGAAAAACATGAGAACAGAGACATTAATATTGATTAATGCTTGCATCGTTGAAAGAAAAGAAAATAACAACTATATAACTCATTCACCAAGCAACTATGGCCAGATTTACAGGCAACAGTCATCAATGATACAAAAGCTTTAAAACTTAAAATGAAAAATACATTACATGTGACACATTATTCCAAACACTTACTTTACTTGTTAAATGTTTCATAAAAATTATTTACTCCTTATAATTTCTACACCAATTTGACATCTTTAATCCAAATGGAATACATTCATATTGGTAGCCCTTTTACTGAATGTATCTTTGTGTACATTAGCACTATTATGCAATGATATTTTGGAATACTAATATTGACTATTGTGTAGGATGGTAAGGATACTAAATCTTGCTTTATCTCAGACTGAAATATAGGTCATTCCGCTTTTGACATTGTGTTGAGCTTAGAAAGCTTACAAGCTTACATGCAGATAAATATGGACTGGAAGAGTCTAATTAGATAAGGATATATATATACAATATTATGACAATGGAGACCAAACAAAATCAGTAAAACTACTTTAGGATCAAACGTCATATAAATCTATTGTTTGGTATTGTACAAGTTTTAATATTCATAATCACATCACTAACACTAAATATCAAAAATATATATATTCAATCATGGAATAATATGTTGCATCATCAAAATACATTCTTGGTTAATGAATAAATGTATGAATGGTAATGCAATGAGCATCCTTTTCCAACGATACCTTAACCATTGATGTTAAAAAATACCACAACAATCAACCCTGAATTGTGAACAATAACTTCAGTTTCAACTTAGACGGTCTGAAAATAAATGTCAAGTTTAAACTGAACTTGATATAAAGAGTGAAAAGCAGTCATTGTGTGTAGTGTTTGTGATTTACTGACACTAGTTTCAGGTCCTATTTCATCCTCCTTACACTCACAAATATTTGAAAGAAATATCAACAGGTACCTTGATCTGGGTTTTGATTGCAGACTCTCAGTAGTTTCAGGAACCGTCAGTTCATTGGAAATTGTTTCTTTCTTCAAACAGTTATAATTAATATCACTTACCCACTCCTGAAGATCCAGGGTAGAATAGGTCTTCAGCAACCCATGCCTGACGTAAAAGGCGACTATGCTTGTCATATGAGGCGACTAAAGGGATTGGGTGGTCACGCTCGCTGACTTGGTTTGATACATGTCATCGTCCCCCAATTGCGTGGATGGATGCTCATGATGTCAATCAATGGATTGTCTGGTCCAGACTCGATTATTTACAGAGTGCCATCATATAGCTGGAACATTGCTGAGTGCGGCATTTTATAGCCTTTCACAATTCCACTTTCTTTTGGTCCGTTTGGTGAACCAATGATTCTAAAGTAAGATCTATGAAGAGCACATTAACACTAGTGCGGACAGCCTAGTCGTGCTACTGTAATAATCCATGCAAGATATGTGGGTACAACCCTACACCAACCACTGAGATTAGCACTGACAAAAGTTATGGCAGATCCAGCAGGGGTGCATGGATACATACCCTTCTTTGACGACCTGTGTTAATACATATGTATTGTTCATTTCATGATTTGGGTAATGTGCAACCAGTTTTCAAAATAATGTTTTCATATAAATAACATTATGCATTTATAATGCACCTGACTTGCAACTTGGATAGCTGTTCACAATATTATTACTCCATCAATGGATCAGTGTGCTTTCAAATTTCATTCTCAGCTCCCTGGGGAGTAAACAACACAAGCTGCCTATGAGGTGCTAGTACAATACCAGTCACATTACCATGTTCCTACCAGGAACCCATTCACTGTCAGGTAAACAGAGGCATATTTAGAACAGAATGGAATCCTGAACCCATCTCTGAAGATTAACACTCCAACAAATACTGTTGTCACAGATGCCTCTCACTTTTACCTTGCACCATAAGGATGAGCTGAAGGAATCAGGTAATAGATTTGAATTAACAAATTATAATTTGACCATCAAAGTCTTATTTACATTTGCAACATTAAGTCAGTGTCTTATTTATATGTGCAACATTAAGTCAGTGTCTTATATATATGTGCAACATTAAGTCAGTGTCTTATTTACATTTGCAACATTAAGTCAGTGTCTTATTTATATGTGCAACATTAAGTCAGTGTCTTATTTATATGTGCAACATTAAGTCAGTGTCTTATTTATATGTGCAACATTTAGTCAGTGTCTTATTTATATGTGCAACATTAAGTCAGCGTCTGATTTATATGTGCAACATTTAGTCAGTGTCTTATTTATATGTGCAACATTAAGTCAGTGTCTTATTTACCCGGTATATGTGCAATGTTTAGTCAGTGTCTTATTTATATGTGCAACATTTAGTCAGTGTCTGATTTATATGTGCAACATTTAGTCAGTGTCTCATTTATATGTGCAACATTAAGTCAGTGTCTTATTTACCCGGTATTTGTGCAATGTTTAGTCAGTGTCTTATTTATATGTGCAACATTTTACAACATTTTATTTTTGTTATATAGTGTGGTACACATCTGTGCAAGAGAACAAGTTGCATTTGAAAGCCATGCTGTTGCTGTGATACATCAAACATTACAACATCAAACATGTCCATGTCCTCAAACTGTCAAACATCATCATCATCATTTTGAAGATGCCATTTCCATTTAAGTGGCTAGTATGACTAACATGACTGTAAAGAGCTAAACCAAACTATGAAGTAAAATAACAATTCTAATATTAAAGCTACTAATTTGATACAGCTTCATATTCTGGTTGCCATGACAATTTTCAGTTTAGAAGACATGGACAGAAGGTGAGGCGGTGTCGGATGAGGTGAGATTCAAGATGGCTGTCGGTCTTACTTCTCCCCAAGAATGGTCAGCAATGTCCGCTTGTAGTGTCCAGAACACTCCGCATCTACTTTCTCCCGAAGACTCTTTCCATAAAGCTCGGCATACTTGGCTTTGATGTCAGCAAGGTCAATCTATGAATTTTAATTAAATAATTAAATATACACAATGAAATCTAAAACTATCATAACAAATACAAGTATGGATTGTTTTAAACTTAAAAACAGTAGAGCTGTTATATTGTTTCAGTCATGTACACTTTAACATCATAATGCTATTTAATTGATTTAAACAAACATATCTTTCTGATACACAGGACATTTATATAACTCTATGAACAAATTGGTAAGTGTTCTTAAAATAAAGAAAAGGGTATCATGTGTCCCCAAAATGTTCAGTCTTATATCCTGTAATACATGGTTTTGAAATTTGAAACAAACAGCAGGAAGCACCTGTTTGTCTGGCCAATATACCTTTAGCAGTATCGCTATTTAAATTATAAAAATAGGCGAGCACAGCTTGATCCTACGATTTCTCCCTTTTAAAAAGATACATGTATGGCAGATGAATATATAACTGTTTCTGAAACACTCTACTCACTCACTCGCTCACTCACTCACTCACTCTGAAGATCCTGGGGGGATAGGTCTTCAGCCACCCATGCTTGTTGTAAGAGGCAACTATGCTTGTCGTAAGAGGCAACTAATAGGATCATGTGGTCAAGCTCACTGACTTGGTTGATGCATGTCATTGTATCTCAGTTGTGTGGATCGATGCTCATGATATCAATCACTGGATTGTCTAGTCCAGACTCGATTATTTACAGACCGCCGTCATATAGCTGGAATATTGCTGAGTGGGGCGTAAAACAACAAACAAACAAACAAAAACTCACTCACTCACAAAAGTAGATCCAACTTCCAAGATAGTCTTAAGAAACAATGGAAAATTAGTTGACTGCAAAAAACAGTATACAAATGACACTTTAAACAGTCACAAATTTTAAGTATTCACTTCAGGGGTTTTCTCATTGCAGTCAACATACTATCTCCTGCATACAGGTGAACTTAACATCTCCAGAATAATTATCTCCCCTTACCTCCGACCTTGACACAAGAATCCTAATAAGTCGAGTATCATTAGTGCCAAGCCCCTTGAAACCTTCCTGTAGGCGAGCAGCATAAAACTCAATTGGGTCCTCAAGTGCTTGTGCTGAAAGAAAGTGTCTCGTTTAGTTATATATTTAGATTCTGGCTGATGAAACTGAGCACCTACAAAGTTCTGAGCAAGAGTACCTGCCTGTCCAAAATCATATATCACATATGTACCAGACTTGGATCATTTCAGGGTGAATAATATATTATGCTTGTGTAAATGTCACATTGCAAACATTTCAGCTGTATTCCATGCTCAAATATTCCATGATGCCTGTGGCAAATTTAATTTTCCATGTAAAAAGATGACATGTTCAGGGCTATTTATTTTTTGTTTCTCCACAGATTTTTAATGGTTAATACGGCAAAAGTATCTCTGGAGGCAAAATAAGAAGATAGAGAAAATGTTAATTGGGTTACTCTCCTGAAAATTCCTCTTGAAATATACTTGTTAACTAAAGTACTGAACGGTGACAGAGGTATTAGGTGTTTTTTGTATCTTGAATCTTCATGGCAACATTTACACTTTGAGAATTTGTGGTGGGAATGTTTTAATGTGTCAGTCACACGTTCTATTACATTTTCATTTGCTACTTTATTTTGATTCAATTATGTAGATGTTGCGAGAAAATTGACTTTTCTATATCAATGTCATATTATCTGGCTGGCTGTCGCATCATGGTAAACAAAGTTTTAATTGCTCTTTGTTCCAGCAACATTAAAGACTTTTTCGCAACAATTTGTACTTCATAGAATCATTAAAGGTTTTTCTTAACTTCATCATTAAGGACAGACCAATATAATATTCTATACTTTACAGATCTTTTCACCACTTTGTTCACTTAGAGGCAGGAGAATTATTCAGAGATGATTTAAAGTTAATTACCAAAAGAACTGCTAAAACAGCATTTGGTTTGGTAAAGAACTATTTAAGTTTATTTTTTAGGGGGTATGGGGTACGTTTTCAGAATTTAGAGTCATACATAAAACAAGAAAAACGATTGGACAGGTCCAGTTGTAACTGTTTTGTTGTATTTTCACATGAAGAGCAGGATGAAAATGCTCTAGAAAGGTCATCAACAAAGTTTTAAAACGCACTTCTATGTCTGAAGCAATCAGTTATAAATTGCCCACACAGAACTGAAATACAGACTGTGGGTTTTCATTTTTTTTCAGCAAGTGTATTGTGTAAACATGTTTTTGTCTCAGTGATGGTTTCGCTAGGGATCCTGTCACTCACTTAACAATGGTTTTGCTAGGGATCCTGTCACTCACTTAGTGATGGCTTTGCTAGGGATCCTGTCACTCACTTAGTGATGGTTTTGCTAGGGATCCTGTCACTCACTTAGTGATGGCTTTGCTAGGGATCCTGTCACTCACTTAGTGATGGCTTTGCTAGGGATCCTGTCACTCACTTAGTGATGGTTTTGCTAGGGATCCTGTCACTCACTTAGTGATGGTTTTGCTAGGGATCCTGTCACTCACTTAGTGATGGCTTTACTAGGGATCCTGTCACTCACTTAGTGATGGTTTTGCTAGGGATCCTGTCACTCACTTAGTGATGGTTTTGCTAGGAATCCTGTCACTCACTTAGTGATGGTTTTGCTAGGGATCCTGTCACTCACTTAGTGATGGTTTTGCTAGGGATCCTGTCACTCACTTAGTGATGGTTTTGCTAGGGATCCTGTCACTCACTTAGTGATGGCTTTGCTAGGGATCCTGTCACTCACTTAGTGAAGGCTTTGCTAGGGATCCTGTCACTCACTTAGTGATGGTTTTGCTAGGAATCCTGTCACTCAGTTAGTGATGGCTTTGCTAGGAATCCTGTCACTCACTTAGTGATGACTTTGCAACCTGTGACCTTCTGCCAACGCCTACAAGACTTTCATCAGCATAAATACTTGTAACATTCCTGACCTATCATTAAACAAATGGATGTCATTTGCTTTGAGTAAATTTAGGCATTTGTATCTACACATGCCATTAAAACACTTCGACAAATGTTGAGAGAGTGAATGAGTGATTTAGAAGATAAACCCAGTGTTTTCAATGTTGAGCTAGGTTACCTCTAGATTTAACTGTACTAAGTTGAGTTTGGAATAGAATGTGTAGTATGAGGTTTCAAATGTTAATTTCAGCTGGTTAAATCTACAGGTAATCTACCTCTCTTTTGAAAATATGGTCTGTTTTATATCTCCTATCTCAAAATTAAACGCGGACTGAGCAAAGATATTGTGTGAAGAAGCATGGTTTAAGTTCAATGTTTTCAGTGGGATACCAATCTGAAACTAGGACCCACTGATAATATCGCCTTATACAAAGCTTGATATAGGCTCAAACAATTTTAAATCATTATACTTTAATCGCATATAACACAGGCATTGAAAGAGTATAGCACAACGACTTCGTAAGCCAAACGTAAGTATCCACATCCTACATTTCGGGTTTCCCCCATCTTGATTTGTGGGAATATTCCAAAAAATATGAGAAACCATACTCACTCACTCACTCCAAAAAATACATGTGAAAATATTTGAAGTTAATAAGGGGTTAGGATTAAATTATTTTCCATTTGTATATATGATGCTGAAAATGGTGAGACAAGAAATACAATTTGTCTGGATTTTCTAAACAATAAAAGCACAAACCAAGTCCCTCGTAGCCAGCCTTAGCATCCCCAGATGCAGAAATGGCGGCAACTATCTCTTGATCAGCAAGTTTTTTGTACTCTGCAAATGTCGCCTTTGCTTGTAATCTGTTTTTCTTTGTCATCACACGTTTGAAGGTTTCATCCGATACTTTGATCGATTTGTCCTGCAACAAAAAAAGAAACACTTGAAAAGAAACATTAACTCATCCTCGTCTGCTCTCAAATTAATGTTCTATGATTGAAAACAAACAGATTCTAATCAAAGTCAGAAAATTGTTGGCTCTGTCAGAATAACAAGAAAATTGACAGGTGGAAAGTAATATGATAACAGGGAAAAGGCAAAAAAATATGTTTCCCTAGAAACTGAAGTCAGTATTATCAGTTCTAGAGTTACATCAACACATCAGAGAGCATCTCTTCAATGAGTGAGTGAGTGAATTTTCCTTTATGCTACATTCAGCTATATTCCAGCTATAGCACAGTGGTCTGTAAACAAGTGGTTGACAGCATGAGCAACAATTCATGATGTCCACTTTGTAACCTCCCAGTCCTCATAAGTCCACTAACCCATGAATATCCAGGGCAGAATAGGTCTTCAGTAACCCATGATTGCCATAAAAGGTGACTATGCTTGTCGTAAGAGACGACTAATGGGATCGGGTGGTCAGGATCGCCATATTATTATATTATTTGGATGGTTCATACATCCTTCTATTTTGACCACAACGGTATCTACATTCTTAAGGGTGTACCATCGAGGATACATTTGTGTTAAGTGTTTAAGTATTGTGTTTCATTTGCATAGACCAAAATTTAGGAATCAAGGTGGAAAAGTAATGAAGCCGAATTGTTTCAAAAGGACATCTGATTAACTCATGAAGCAACACATCCTTTATTTTTAAAGAACTGTCAAAGTTCGCTCCGGGCTCACCAAACGCGACCGCTTATGGAGATGACCTCAGGATCGTCACACAGAGAGGTATTGTATCGAAGTAAACTATCTGATTAAATAAGGTTACTTAAGAAGCAAAGGCCACTGTTTTTTAAAAAAAATTCCCAATGCAAATCAACAATAGATTTTAATTTAGCTAACTTTACACAGTCAAACAATAAAAAAAGTCTCATGCTTAATTGTTTCCCTTCTCACAACATCCTGACTACTCCCCTGATTTAATGCTTGTCACTAAAGGGTTAACATTCTGAGAAACTGAAATAAATTCAATTCAGCATCAACAATACTCGAATTTGCCCTGTTAACGAAAAATAGATTGACGTCGGCATTGAGTTTTCCAATACTGTTTCGCTCAAACTGAATTATGCATGGCAATAAATTGGATCAGGAAATAAAATAACTCCCTGTTTGCTTTCTCAATCACTCGCAGCCCTCTCACTTGTACTCATGGGTGATTTCAGTACAGCAGCCATTGCATGACATCAGACGCATCATGTCACACTGACATTTTCCACAGAAAGCTAACTTAAAAAAGAACTGTTACTTTTAATATAATAGTTAACTTTGATCTGACAGCTTGACTTCACAATCTAATCACCATTGAACAAAACAAAAACTTTAATTTCTGAAATTTAACAATTAATAACCCTTGAACATTAATCCCAAAATACACAGCGAACAGGATCTATGACAGAATTAGTTTATGCTTGACAGGATAAAATATCACTTTTCATGCAAGTCTTGCCTAAAATTAATTACAGCTCTGTGGTTTAGGAGTTTAAAGCTGGCTCACTATTGATCTTCCGGTCCCCATTATGTCAGATTCCCTCGGTAACTGTCTGGTGTTTTGATGCTCCAGCATAAGTAGTTCTTATCTCCCATGATTTATGAAAGGCCTGCATAAAACATCTTCCCGAGGCAAGAGAGTTAACTGACTTTAAAAGTCCAGTTTCCATCCTTGCCGAACTAGGCTTGAATTCCTGGGCTTGATCGTAGCGCTACCAGTGGCTATTACCAGTTATGTCCCTCTCCTATTGACCAATCAGATTCCATCTCTCATATCACTTGCATTTGCTTCAAACAAAATGGCGGTGCCAAGTCAGGACACTCTGCTCGATAATCAAGATTTACACTGTGATAAAACGGGTCTTACATCGCGAAATGCATCAAATCAAGTAGTGAGTGAGTGAGTGAGTATGGTTTTACACCGCTTTTAGCAATATTCCAGCAATATCACGACGGGGGACCCCAGAAATTGGCTTCACACATTGTACCCATGTCGGGAATCGAACCCGGGTCTACGGCGTGACGAGCGAACGCTTTAACCACTAGGCTACCCGACCGTCCCATCAAATCAAGTAAGAACCTTGATTAAAAACATGAGAAGATTTTGAAAATATCTGTTGACGGTTGGCGGTTCACATGCTTTGCTAATCCTGCAATCGACTGAAATCTGCACAACAGTTTACGAACCGGATTTTGATTTCGTTGCGCAATTTTGATTGGACTATGCATTGACTCGTTAGTCCGGCCAAATTGTAACTCCATAATACCAGCCTAGTTCGGCAAGGGTGGAAACTGGACTTTTATAGTCAGTTGACTCTCTTGCCTTGGGAAGATGGCTTAAACTGACCTCTCAAGTTGATTTTAAATCACTGACAAGTAGAAAAAAACACTTAGTGCCTTCTCTTAAACATGCAGTTCTCTTTACAGTTATAAATCCTATTTTCTGGAAAAAGATATTCCAACCTTGAAACTTTTCTTTTAAAAATATATATGATAGATATACCATCACTTATGAAAATTATTTTTTTTATTTTAAGGTTCAAAGATATGCAAAATAAGATTGCAGATTATTTTTCTTTCTTCAAATTTCAGTGATAATAACACTTCCTAAACAGACTGATATTGGAGAAGGATGGAACCACATGCTATCAGCTGCTGGTTGTACATCCCAGACTCAAGTATTGCGGCCTCCATCAGACCACACTGTTTGTAATAAGCAAGACAAGGTATATTTGAAAATAATTGTGTCAACCGTAGGTGAAATGGCTAACTAGAGGTTTAGATATGCTTTGATATACATATCCTACTGATGAAAGGATGTAAGAATATTGACTGTAGGATAAGCACGTGGTACTATAGCTCAATTCCAGTACCAAACATATTATGAAAACCCTTCAAAATACATTTCTTAAGCATAAAACATAAACCATACAATTTGTTCTGTGGAAACACAAATGAAACTGAAGAACATGCCGTTTTTATTCTGAAGAATGGAAACTTACATGGTCATCAAGAAAAACATCATGCAGTAGGTTAAAAGTAAATTAAGTTTAGTTTGATATAAAGAAAATAAAAATAAAATCTTAGGTGTTTTGTGTTATTATTTCCAGCCTAACAACCAGGAATTTCTCCAAACGAACTTTGTAGAAAACCTCATGGCACCAACACTTGCCTCTCTAACATCACCTCTACCTCGTACAGATCCTTGACATCAACACTTGCCTCTCTAACATCACCTCTACCTCATACACATCCTTGACATCAACACTTACCTCTCTAACATCACCTCTACCTCATACAGATCCTTGACATCAACACTTACCTCTCTAACATCACCTCTACCTCGTACAGATCCTTGACATCAAAACTTACCTCTCTAACATCACCTCTACCTCATACAGATCCTTGACATCAACACTTACCTCTCTAACATCACCTCTACCTCGTACAGATCCTTGACATCAACACTTACCTCTCTAACATCACCTCTACCTCGTACAGATCCTTGACATCAAAACTTACCTCTCTAACATCACCTCTACCTCATACAGATCCTTGACATCAACACTTACCTCTCTAACATCACCTCTACCTCGTACAGATCCTTGACATCAACACTTACCTCTCTAACATCACCTCTACCTCGTACAGATCCTTGACATCAACACTTACCTCTCTAACATCACCTCTACCTCGTACAGATCCTTGACATCAAAACTTACCTCTCTAACATCACCTCTACCTCATACAGATCCTTGACATCAACACTTACCTCTCTAACATCACCTCTACCTCGTACAGATCCTTGACATCAACACTTACCTCTCTAACATCACCTCTACCTCGTACAGATCCTTGACATCAAAACTTACCTCTCTAACATCACCTCTACCTCATACAGATCCTTGACATCAACACTTGCCTCTCTAACATCACCTCTACCTCGTACAGATCCTTGACATCAACTCTTACCTCTCTACCATCACCTCTGCCTCGTACAGATCCTTGACATCAACACTTACCTCTCTAACATCACCTCTACCTCGTACAGATCCTTGACATCAACACTTGCCTCTCTAACATCACCTCTACCTCGTACAGATCCTTGACATCAACACATAGCCCTCTAACATCACCTCTACCTTGTACAGATCCTTGACATCAACACTTACCTCTCTAACATCACCTCTACCTTGTACAGATCCTTGACATCAACACATAACCCTCTAACATCACCTCTACCTTGTACAGAGCCTTGACACCAACACAGAACCCTCTAACATCACAGGGGGCACGGGTGGCCCAGTCGTCTAAGATTCGCTGTGCAGAGTTGCGTCCCTTGGGCACGCCAGAAACATATGATTGTGGGTTCGAATCCTGGTTCGCTCCGATTATGTTTCTAGGTTTGTCAGCACCATACACATGCTCGTGGGTTTCACTGAAGTGGTAAACGTCTGAGACCTGCATCACTTCTGGCTTTCCTCCCACATTAAGCTGATACGATGTTATACAACTGGAATAGTGTTAAAAGCGGCGTTAAACCCAACACACTCACTCTAACATCACACCTACCTTTACAGAGCCTTGACACACCAACACATAACCCTCTAACATCACACCTACCTTGTACAGAGCCTTGACAAACCAACACGTAACCCTCTAACATCACACCTACCTTGTACAGAGCCTTGACACACCTACACGTAACCCTCTAACATCACACCTACCTTGTACAGAGCCTTGACAAACCAACACATAACCCTCTAACATCACACCTACCTTGTACAGAGCCTTGACACACCTACACGTAACCCTCTAACATCACACCTACCTTGTACAGAGCCTTGACACACCTACACGTAACCCTCTAACATCACACCTACCTTGTACAGAGCCTTGACACACCAACACTTGCCTCTCTAACATCACACTTACCTTGTACAGAGCCTTGACACACTAACACATAACCCTCTTACATCACACCTTCGTTGTACAGAACCTTGACACACCAACACATAACCCTCTAACATCACACCTGCCTTGTACAGAGCCTTGATAAACCAACACATAACCCTCTAACATCACACCTTCGTTGTACAGAGCCTTGACACACCAACACATAACCCTCTAACATCACACCTACCTTGTACAGAGCCTTGACACACCAACACATAACCCTCTTACATCACACCTACCTTGTACAGAGCCTTGACAAACCAACACATAACCCTCTAACATCACACCTACCTTGTACAGAGCCTTGACACACCAACACTTGCCTCTCTAACATCACACTTACCTTGTACAGAGCCTTGACACACTAACACATAACCCTCTTACATCACACCTTCGTTGTACAGAACCTTGACACACCAACACATAACCCTCTAACATCACACCTGCCTTGTACAGAGCCTTGATCAACCAACACATAACCCTCTAACATCACACCTCGTTGTACAGAGCCTTGACACACCAACACATAACCCTCTAACATCACACCTACCTTGTACAGAGCCTTGACACACCAACACATAACCCTCTAACATCACACCTACCTTGTACAGAGCCTTGACACACCAACACTTGCCTCTCTAACATCACACTTACCTTGTACAGAACCTTGACACACCAACACATAACCCTCTAACATCACACCTACCTTGTACAGACCCTTGACACACCTACACATAACCCTCTAACATCACATCTACCTTCTACAGATCCTTGACACACCAACACATAACCCTCTAACATCCCACCTACCTTGTACAGAGCCTTGACACACCAACACATAACCCTCTTACATCACACCTATCTTGTACAGAGCCTTGACATACTGACACATAACACTCTAACATCACACTTACCTTGTTCAGATCCTTGGCATCCTGTTCGGCCTCCTTCTGGTTGACCTCCCATCCTGAATCTCGGCCTCCTTTCAGGAGTTGCACCAAGAGCTCTTCAAACTCCCCACTTGTATCTGAACGAATGTCATTTTCCAGATCAGATGTGTAGGCTGAAACAAAAACATTAAAGTCAATATGGACAACAGGTCATCAGCAAATGCTCACTGTATACCCCCAAAAAGGGTGTTGAAAGAAATAACAAACAACTTTAAACTGACAGGACATTTTGAGAGGAAAATCAAATAACAAAACAATTGAACACAATTCTCTGAAATAATATCTTGCTTTCATTTAAAACACCAGATTCAATGAAAATAAGGATATCCACAGTTGTGAATGGGACTTAATTAATTTTTTGTGTGATATATAATGGATGGAGTGGTGGGGTAGCCCAGTGGTTAGGTGTTTGCTCATCTGACGGTAGGCCCGGGTTATTCCCCGATTGGGCACAATTTGTGAAGCCTATTTCTGGTGTCCCCTGCCTCATTATGTAAAAGCAATGTAAATCCATACACACATAATTCATGATTTTCAGCTTCACCACTTCAGAAGGGTGACGGATTGACCTACATTACGTAATAACAACACTCCCTCACACAACAGTTCATGTTCCACAGTGATAATACAATCATACCAGCAAACATCCGTTCAGGATGGGGTAGGACAAGGACCAATATTTTGGGGATTTGCATAATTCAAGACAATCAGTCTGGGTATTTCAACACTTGTATGTTTTGAACTTATAACAATGTTTGATATTTCTAGCTGGCTAAACAAGGCCCATATCCTACATCGTCTACATACCAACATTAACCAACACACTGGCACTGACTGTTTAAAGGAAACTGTGCAAGTGGCTGAGGCATTATTGATTGTTGGCGATGTATTCATATAATTTCATATAATCCCGACTTTGCCTTTTTTGCCCTATGGAAACCAAAATGCTGTTTGATTGAAATTATGCTTTTTGTAACATTATTGTAGTTTTGCTAAAACTTTTTTTCCCATTTTAATCTAGGAAATTATACTGAAAACAGCTTTTAAAAGTTTCTTCAACTTTGAATCTTGCCTCATGGCATTTTGACCAAGAATATAAATTAGTCTGGACAAGCAATGAATTATTTGAGACTCTGTTCCCTTTAGAATGTTCGCAACACAATAAGATTGCACTGGAGTAATGATATAAAACTCCCTGCCAGCACACAGAGACGAAGGAACATATCAAGCAACTTGATTAGATGTCAAGAAATAGAAACAGAAATAAATGTCCATATAATGAGTCTAAAAAGAGAAACATGTTCTGCTATTCTCACCTCGTCTGTAATGCTCCGTGATTGCCTTGATGTCCTGAAGGAGAAGATGAAGAGAGAGTGTTGTTTATTGCACTGTCTGCAATCTTGAGTATATGACAGGAGGGTGGCCCAGGTGAATGCATATTACTAGTAACTATGGTGGACATGATGGACATGATGGATGGCACATGGATAACACCTGCCTGGTGCCTGGATGACACATGAGTGACACATGAGTGACACATGAGTGACACATGAGTGACACATGAGTGACACACGACCCACATGGGTGGAGTTGTTCTAGAAATAGTACTGAGCCAGGAATGCCTGATGACCACATAGTCTTAACATTACTTATAACACAACTCACATATCGCTGACATATGACTTATAACACAACACACATATGACACACACACAACACACACATGATATATAACACAAATCACATATGACACACACATGACTTATAACACAACTCACATATGGCTGACATATGACTTATCACACAACTCACATATGACACACACAACACACACATGACATAACACAAATCACATATGACACACATGACTTATAACACAACTCACATATGGCTGACATATGACTTATCACACAACACACATATGACACACACAACACACACATGACATAACACAAATCACATATGACACACATGACTTATAACACAACTCACATATCACTGAAATATGACTTATAACACAACACACATATGACACACACACAACACACACATGACATATAACACAAATCACATATGACACACACACAACACACACATGACATATAACACAAATCACATATGACACACATATGACTTATAACACAACTCACATATGGCTGACATATGACTTATCACTCAACACACATATGACACACAAAACACACACATGACATAACACAAATCACATATGACACACATGACTTATAACACAACTCACATATCGCTGACATATGACTTATAACACAACACACATATGACACACACACAACACACACATAACATATAACACAAATCACATATGACACACACACAACACACACATGACATATAACACAAATCACATATGACACACATATGACTTATAACACAACACACATGACACACACACAACACACACATGACATATAACACAAATCACATGACACACACACAGCACACACATGACATATAACACAAATCACATATGACACACACATGACTTATAACACAACTCACATATGGCTGACATATGACTTATCACACAACACACATATGACACACACAACACACACATGACATTTAACACAACTCACATATGACACACACATGACTTATAACACAGCTCACATATGGCTGACATATGACTTACATACACGACACACATATGACACACACAACACACACATGACATAAAACACAACTCCTATATGACACACACACATGACTTATAACACAATTCACATATGGCTGACACATAGATTATAACACAACACACATATTGCTGACATATGACTTATAACACAACACACATATGACACACACAACACACTCATGACTTATAACACAACTCACATATGGATGACACATGGATGATAACACAACACACATATGACACACACACACAACACACACATGACTTATAACACAACTCACATATGACAGACACATGACTTATAACACAAATCACATATGGCTGACATATGACTTTTAACAACACACATGACACATACACAACACACACATGACTTATAACACAACTCACATATGGATGACACATGGATTATAACACAACACACATATGGTTGACATATGACTTATAACACGACACACATGACACACATACAACACACACATGACATATAACACAACTCACATATGGCTGACATGTGACTCATAACACAACTCACATATGACTGACATATGACTTACTCATGTTTTGATGATACTCAGTTCTACATCATATTTCAATATTCAATATTCAAAATTTACACAAAACTTTATACAAACTTTGCAAAGCAGTACAAAAACAACATGGAAGACTCAGGCAAGTTGACAATTCACCATGCCGACAGTGCTACCCACCTTGCCCGACCTGGTACAGAGGATGCCAACAGTGCTACCCACCTTGCCCGACCTGGTACAGAGGATGCCGACAGTGCTACCCACCTTGCCCGACCTGGTACAGAGGATGCTGACAGTGCTACCCACCCTGCCCAACCTGGTACAGAGGATGCTGACAGTGCTACCCACCTTGCCCGACCTGGTACAGAGGATGCCGACAATGCAACCCACCTTGCCCGACCTGGTACAGAGGATGCCAACAGTGCTACCCACCTTGCCCGACCTGGTGCAGAGGATGCCGATCAATGCTACCCACCTTGCCTGACCTGGTACAGAGGATGCTGACAGTGCTACCCACCTTGCCCGACCTGGTACAGAGGATGCTGACAGTGCTACCCACCTTGCCCGACCTGGTACAGAGGATGCCGACAATGCTACCCACCTTGCCCGACCTGGTACAGAGGATGCCGATCAGTGCTACCAACCTTGCCCAACCTGGTACAGAGGATGCTGACAGTGCTACCCACCTTGCCTGACCTGGTACAGAGGATGCCGATAGTGCTACCCACCTTGCCCGACCTGGTACAGAGGATGCCGACAGTGCTACCCACCTTGCCCGACCTGGTACAGAGGATGCTGACAGTGCTACCCACCTTGCCGGACCTGGTACAGAGGATGCCTATCAGTGTTGCCTCGGATGTGCCTGGCCCCTTGACTGCTTCGTGAAGACAGTGAGCATCATACTCAGTCGGCTCCATCATCAAGGCAAGGACGAGCTCCTCAAAGTCCCCCCGGAGCTCCGATTCTAGATCTTTCATCAGATCCTGCAACAATAGAGATGCACATACAATCAGCTTAGGTTTAAACCTACATTTAAATGACATGATAGAACTGAAATATTGTTACAAACAGTTGGAGACCCCATTAACGCACAATCTACACAGCAGCAGAGCTCCCATATCAGCTGCACCTTATAGGTAACAGCAGAATTTCTGCCAGGTAACTTAATCCTAAATCCTGTGATCAAATCCCACAATGTTCCTGTTTATCATTCTAGGGTTGTCACCATGGATAGGATTGTAAGTTTCAGCAAAATAGTAAAATTCTATGACCTACAATATTTTCTCCCACATTTAACTGAAATACCAGGATAAAACAGAATTTTGTATAAGATAGATCCATCCATCCATCCATTCACTCACTCACTCACCCTTTGTACTTCTTGTACTTATTCTGTTTTGAGTAAGATTACGCCCCTCTCTTTTACTCATGCACTCACTCACTCACTCACTCATGCTGTACCTTCTTATACTTCTCCTTGTACTTCTTCTTGAGCAACTGCCTCTGTTCATTACTCTTGTTGGAAATGACATCAATGATGACCTGTTCATCTGTCCCGAACCCATCCATGGCCTTGTGGAGTTTCTCCACCTCCTTTACGGCATCAAAGTTCTTGGCCGGAGTGATGGTGCCAGTCGTCTTTGGTGCCTTCTCATCCTTCTTGTCATCCTTCTTTTTAGCTCCTTCTCCTCCCCGTTTTGAGTTGAGTGGGTTTTGAGAAGAGTCATCATCCTTGCTTTTGTTTTCAGGTCGTTTCAGAGGCTTGCCTTTCGGAGGGGGAGCAAGAGCCATGCCAGCATATTTTTTGTTTCCTTTAGACTAAGAACAAAAAACAATGATTACTCAATGTGCTCTCACACAGGTGGTCTATTCATCTTGTTTGTCAAGGTATATGACAGCTGTCTGCAAATAATCAAGTCTGGAACAGACAATCCAGTAACTGACATCATGGACATCGATCTATGCAATTGGCATTCGATGACATGCATCAACCAAGTCAGCAAGTCTGACCACCCGATCCCGTTAGTTGCCTCCTATGATAAGTATGGCTTGCTGAAGACCAACTCGGATCTCCACGGAACTCAAGTCATTAAGGTGACACAATTAGCTGCACAGAGTTACATTCTGTAGGCATTACAAGATGCTATAATGGTGGGTTTCAACCCCAATTTGATTGTGATGGTGAGTGTGCACTGCAGCCCTGGACATGGGTCCAACCAACGTGTTCACATCCTCTTCTAGTTGTCCTCCTATGTAGAACTAACACGCCATGATATAACTAAAATACTGTTTAAAGCGACATAACAGCCAAATCAAGTCATTTACTTGCCCTTCTCCAGACAAAATAAGCTACAACGCTCTGCTTCTGTTGCAAAGTGGTTTTAACTTCCCGATAATGGAAGTTCATTCAAAAGCAATGTCCTGACTGAAGTTCTAAGGACGTCTTCGTCCCAGAAACAAATAAATGTCCACTAAAAATCTTACGCTGTTGAATGTAGTGGTCCTGTCACATACAGAGCATGAACAGCACGAGATTTACAAAAAAGAACATGCGCAAGTGGTATAGCAACAGGAGTCTTTGGGCGAGCACTTCCAAGTTAATCGATGAAAATTTGGACGAGTTATACCAAAACAAACCGAGTACAATTCTTCCCTTCTGTTCACCAACAAATATTTCTGACCTGAGGAACCATCCATTTAATATTCAAATAAGTAACCAAATATAACGTATGTCTAGAGGTAGTGATATAAAATTAGTGTCTCTAACAAGAACAAATGTATAATGATCATGATCTTGACCTTGACCTTCACTTTCAGGTAAAATGCACTTCAATATTGTTATTCATGAACCTCTGGTCACAGACCTATTCTAGGTCAAATCTAAGTGACTTTGACCTTGACCTAACTTTCAGCCCAAGTGCACTTCAATGTTGCATTTCATCAGCCTACCTTCTTTGAAGGTGTTTTGGATGCCAGTTCCTTCAGCAGCTTGGCTGTGGGATGCAAACATCGGTCCTCAATGTCCTCTGTCAGTTCTGCGTCATACTTCTTCTTGTACGCCTTCTTCACACTGGGCATGTCAATCTGACACACATACAACACACTTCAGAAGTGTTTCTACATGGTACTGAATTAATGGTGAAGGAATGAGTCTTTAATGTCGCTAAGAGCAACTTTGCATACTTTTGAGGTATGACTTGACTGATTCATTTACCAGAATTACATATTGTGTTTGATTGAAAATATGCTTTTTTTAAACATGTTTTTGTTTGCATTTGTATGGGTTGAAATTTTTATTTAAATTTTTCAAATGGTGTGTTGACATTTATTTTGGTTTGAAGAATGTGTGCATAAAGAAATTCAAACAAATTCTAAAATCAGGAATAAAGTGTTGTCATGTGCTTCTGATATGAATAACATTTGATAGGAGGATTAAAAACTCTGTTACCAATGACGATAAATGATATTCTTCTGTTCTAAACTCTGTTTAAAACAGAATTTAGAACACAAGAACATCTTTTGAAACCACTCTTGAATAAATGTAGAATTGCATTTTCCAGATTTAGATGTTCATCGCGTGAAGTGTATATTGAAACAGGAAGAAATACAAACTTTCGCAGGAATGTTGACAATGAGTGAGGGAGTGAGTTGGGTTTAACGCCGCTTTTAACATTATTCCAGTTATATCACAGCGTGCCAGCTTAATGTGGGAGGAAAGCCCGAAGTGATGCAGGTCTCAGATGTTTACCACTTTGGTGAAACCCACAAGCACGGGTATGGTGCTGACAAACCTAGAAACATAATCGGGGCAAACCAGGATTCGAACCCACAATCATAGGTTTCTGGCGTGCCCAAGGGATGCAACTCTGAATGTTGACTATGAGTAATTACAGTTTAAAGAAGAAACATACCACCATGTCCTCATTATCCACCTTATGTCTATGCCGTACCTATCTAGCCCCATTAATGTACCAATCTCCAAATATCTTTAAGTATAAGGAACTAATGTATTTAAATATCAATGTATTAATGTCCACAATGTATGTCCTAACAGCTTATATATGTAATGCAATGATGTTAGGATTAGAAGTGTGTGAGTGAGTTAAGGTTTATAGTCACATCGGCAATATTTCAGCCATCTCGGGACTAAAAGATTAGAAGTAAAGAAGTTACTTCTGTATATCTTATATGCATACAGATTTGGCCTTTCAGTATTTCTGCAATAAACACATGACATGATGGTAAGAGGTTTTCATATACCTCTGCCCTTGTGACAAGGATCTTCACAAACACAGGGTTGGTAGCGTCGAGGTTCTTATACAGCTTTTCTGCATGCATGTCTGATGAACTCTTGACTGTGGACACTGCAACGACACACATCTCACCATCACACTTACATCACTTGTTCATCACATAATCACATTTTTTGTCCAACAGTCAGCACGTAGATCAGATAGACAGCTTAAGTTGCTTGGAGCCAGTTTCTTATACAGAATCCCCTGTGAGTATCTCGTTATTGGTTACACTCTTGATATTCTCGAAAGTAGTTAACACTCTTGACCAGAAGATTTAAAAAACAATTCTGCATTTGTATTTTTTTTTTAAAATTATTTTAAGATGCGATGTCTGTACATAACTGGTTGGCACACACATGAACATAAAACACAGATGTTCTTGCTGGATGAGTAATATTACATTGTAGTCTTTGGTTTGATCACTCGCACTTGGAACATCAGTACAGTGATCCCTCGCTATAATGCTACCTTCGACGTCCAAATAATTGATGAGCGTTATAGATGAACAGCGGTTTAACTAAGGTCGAGTCATAGATGGTAGATGACCAACAAAACAGTAGACATGCTCTGCCTGCCTAACACGATCTACGTTGCATGTTTCAAAGTTTAAAAAAAGATTAGAATAGAAGTTGTTTATAATTCATAGTGGAAAAAAAAGATTTATCGTGTATTATCTATTATCTATCTATAGAGACCAATATCTATAATATGGTCTCTGGTATTAATGTGCGCTTTCAAAAAAACACGTCATATCATTTCAGCGAATTCAGGTGAATAAATAGGTATAACAAACTTGGTCAATAAAAGTATGAAATTTGATATAAAACATCACTAGACATGATGATTTACCATTTAAAATGTATTTCCTGCTCTCTAAGGCATTGTTTTATATGCAGAGATTTAGATGACAATGTGTATTTTCTCGTAAACTAAGCCAGAAATAGTGTTGTCTTCAGACTCACCAAATGCTCCCACAGCATCTGCATACTCTTGATCACACTCTTCCTTCACTGACTGTAATAGCTCCTCACCTCCAGACACCTGTAAGGAGCTTTGGCATATGATTGTCTAAAAATGTACAAACTCACTGTGTTCAAGAGGACTGTAATGGAGTCTTTGATGCCATAGCCATAAATATAAACAATGTTTATCATATAGATTATATGATGTGATATATAGTATATCATAAATTGTAGTGTATTATTATATCACATATAGAAATTGTTTCATATCAAACCTATCATTTATCATGTCATGTCATGTCATGTCATGTCATGTCATGTCATGTCATGACATGGGGGTAGGGGTAGCCTAGTGGTTAAAGCATTGGCTCACCATGCCGAAGTACAATGTGTGAAGCCCATTTTCTGCTGGAATATTGCTGGAATATTGCTAAAAGTGGCGTAAAACCATACTCACTCATATCATATCATATCATATCATATCATATCATATCATATCATATCATATCATATCATATCTCATCTCATTGCAGTAAGAAACACCGGACATTTGGAAAATATTATGACAATGTTCATATCATCTTGTGAATAGGACAATTTTACTTAGTAAACGTGAATCAAACAATATAAATATTAGTCAGTTTATATAATTACAATGTGACCATATTTACCGAAAACACTATTTTTCAAAAACACATGGTTTCCTTAATCACCTAAACAATCTCAAGTGAACAAATTCTTCCGACTCACTGATTACACCCACTCAGTGACGGCTTGTATGGTTCTCAAATTCTTAGAAAACCGACATATAAATAAGAAATATCTTGACGTTTATCTTTCACAAGAAGAAAATGGCTAGCACTAAAAAAAAGAAATAAAAATGTCTTCTACTACCATCAATCAATAGCAACCTTTATACTAAACTAACAGAAAATCTATTAGAAATAAAAAAACACTGTGATCGTGGCCCTTTAACATTTAGATGTCATGGAAACTGGGGAAAAAACTTATGACCTTTGCTATCTGGACAGGCAATATCTATCAATGGCGACACTGGTACATATTAGGTAATTTTTTTATAATTGTTGGATCACAAATCAGCCACCCTATTTCAACAAAAATATTTAAAAAATGAAATTTACACTCATTTGTTTCGCTGACAGAGCATACAAAAAATATTTTGTGCTTTCTCAGTGATTTAGAAACATGAATGAGCAATAACTCATTTTCTGCATCAGTTCCGTTATGTGTCATTGTCAAAATATTTTGCCTAAATTACCTTCCTTAGTCTTCCATAAATAAGACATTGTGTCCCCTTGTATAGTTTGAAAAACTTAATAGATAGAGGATGTCATTTTAAAAACCAAATTCCCTTATCCATCGAATACAAAAATAATGGCCATATTGTGCCTCGTATGTTGTCAATGATCAGTATGTACCAGACACACCTACAGGTCAACTTGAATACCGGATACAAACAAGGAGTGGACTGATGCAGTTGCATACAGGATGTACCTCTTGTATTGATAACTAAAACAAATGTATACCCAAGGGAAATAATGGACAAAGTATGATAAAGGCCCTTTTTTGGCTGATGGGATATATATGATGTGAGAAATCATGAGATTTTTTGGTTTTGGTGTTTTTTTTACGCCGCACTCAGCAATATTCCAGCTATATGAAATATAGCAATATCTGTAAATAATCGGGTGATAAATAATTCAGTGATTTACATCATGAACATCGATCCACGCAATTGGGATCGATGACATGCATCAACCAAGTCAGCGAGCCTGACCACCCGATCCTGTTAGTCGCCTCTTACAACAAGCATAGGCGCCTTTTACGGCAAGCATGGGTTGCTGAAAACCTATTCTACCCCGGATCTTCATGGGTCTTTTGAGCAAAACCTTAACAGTTATAACAAAAATTATTAGATATGCTCATAACGACTGAAAATTAAACTTTGTTATTTCATCAATTGCATGTTTGGGACTTACAACAAAACAAAAAAGTAAAAATGAGTCGAAAAGGACGATTTTAGAGGATTTCTAGAAACATTCTCCTGATTTCTGAACATGATGAAGTCTGAGACTCAAGCAGATGTACCAAGGAGAGGCAGATACAAACAGTACAAATGTCATGATGGAGCACGGACTTGCTCACAAAGATGCAAAAATCTTTCTTTATCATTCTTTCTAATTTTTCTCATGTTCTTGAAGATGCCTCAAGTAACCCACTTGCAAGTGCAAGAAAGAAATAGGCCTGTTGTCAACCATTTGAACATGTGGGCTCCTTTTTCATACTAATATTCAAAGTTTTTCACAACAATAAACATTTCCCATTTCCAGTGGGCATTGATTGAATGCAGACATGACATACATGAACTCTACTGCATCAAATACTGCAAACAAATCTCTATCTTGCTTGTCACTTTGACCTATATCATTATTTTAGCTCTTGCATCAGGAGACTGCCTCTGTGAACTTGTGGTAGAGCGTCCGCCCGGAGAGCGGAAGGTCCGGGGTTCGATCCCCGGCTGCGTCATACCAAAGTCTGGCGCTCAGCATTAAAGGGCTAAAACAAGGACTGGTCGGCTCGGAGTCAGTATAATGTGTCTGAGTTGGGTATTCATGTTAACGTGCGGCATGGTATCTCAGTGAGCTAGCACTATAAATCAGCATCAGTCCGAAATAGTACAAGCAGCCACACACACACACACGTGCATGCACGTCGCTATATAAGTGCAATAATCTTGGACGCGACGTTAAACCGCATTTCACCTCCCCTCCTGCATCCGATGACCCCTGAGACAACACATGCACACTAGAAGTCCCCTGAAACAACATGTTTATACAAATAAGGTCCACTCACTGTATTAAATATTCAAAAACACCCAATAGACTGAAGCAAAGGGAGTGAAGATATATTGAATATCACCTTACAACATTTTCGTGAAAACCCTCTTTTGTTTATGAGAACAATTAAAAAAGAAAGTAACAAAATAAAATACTATTTCAACTTCCATAACAAAAAAACACATAAAACATATCTCCTCTGCGAGAAGACATTGTTCATTCTAAGGACATATGTCAATTATTCTGACAAGATAGGCAAGAAACTGACGTGCAGGGAATGCCATGTGTCAGGCTAAACTATTTTCCGTGATAATGTTGTTGAGATGAGATGTAACTGAAGGCGACATATCAATCAATCAGCCACCAGGGGGCACTTTGTATGGCCGAGCATCGCGTTTCATATTTTTAGGTTCACGTATCAAATATATCCTATTTATGTAATTCTCAATTTTAAAACCAGGTAACTAAAAGAGGTTTATAACAGTTACTCCAAAGTGAAATGGTACCATTCCAGAATCAAAAATGGGAAAACAATAATGTATTTCCAAATGTAGATCAAACGAAGATATCATTATCATCATGTCAGCCAATTTGTCAGATGATCCATATGGCAATATAATCTCTAAAAAAACACCTAATCCTTTCTAAATGACATTTTTAAGAGTTGTATATAAATGATATGTGTCTGTGACATTTTCCAGATTGAAAATTCTCATTATTTGTATCATGTATTAATGGTTTTTCAAAGGTAAGAAAGTTTGTGGGATCAAGATAGGCTCTTTCAGGACTCATGACACGTATATTTGTGAAAGATCATTATGGAGTATATTTATCAACATTTATGTCTCTTGTCTCCTCACAAATCCTATTTTGAGTGCTACAGCAAATTAAAAACACGTCTCTTTCATTACCAAAACTCAGACTTGACCATAAACATGATGGGAGTCTTGTGAAGTGATTTTGTGAATTCTAATTTTGGTTTTCTGAACATTATTTCAACTATAATGAGTGAGTGAGTAAGTGAGTGAGTGAGAGTGTGCTTTTATGCCGCTTTTAGCAATATTCCAGCAATATCATAGCGGGGGACACCAGAAATGGGCTTCATACATTGTTTCCATGTCGGGAATCGAACCTGGACCTTTGAGATGGCGAGCAAACACTTTAACCACCAGGTCACCCAACCACCAGACCACCCAACCACCAGGTCACCCAACCACCAGGCCACCCAACCACCAGGCCACCCAACCACCAGGTCACCCAACCACCAGGCCACCCAACCACCAGGCCACCCAACCACCAGGCCACCCAACAGGCCACCCAACCACCAGGTCACCCAACCACCAGGCCACCCAACCACCAGGCCACCCAACCACCAGGCCACCCAACCACCAGGCCATCCAACCACCAGGTCACCCAACCACCAGGCCATCCAACCACCAGGCCACCCAATCACCAGGCCACCCAACCACCAGGCAATCCAACCACCAGGTCACCTAACCACCAGGCCACCCAACCACCAGGCCACCCAACCACCAGGCCACCCAACAGGCCACCCAACCACCAGGTCACCCAACCACCAGGCCACCCAACCACCAGGCCACCCAACCACCAGGCCACCCAACCACCAGGCCATCCAACCACCAGGCCACCCAACCACCAGGTCACCCAACCACCAGGCCATCCAACCACCAGGCCATCCAACCACCAGGCCATCCAACCACCAGGTCACCCAACCACCAGGCCACCCAACCACCAGGTCACCCAACCACCAGGCCACCCAACCACCAGGCCACCCAACCACCAGGTCACCCAACCACCAGGCCATCCAACCACCAGGTCACCCAACCACCAGGCCATCCAACCACCAGGCCATCCAACCACCAGGCCATCCAACCACCAGGCCATCCAACCACCAGGCCACCCAACCACCAGGTCACCCAACCACCAGGCCACCCAACCACCAGGTCACCCAACCACCAGGCCACCCAACCACCAGGTCACCCAACCACCAGGCCACCCAACCACCAGGTCACCCAACCACCAGGCCATCCAACCACCAGGTCACCCAACCACCAGGCCATCCAACCACCAGGCCATCCAACCACCAGGCCATCCAACCACCAGGCCATCCAACCACCAGGCCACCCAACCACCAGGTCACCCAACCACCAGGCCACCCAACCACCAGGTCACCCAACCACCAGGCCACCCAACCACCAGG